ACGACTGTGTACCTTTCTTCAATCACCCGACACAGATGCTCGCCCGGCATTGGGCAAGTGGTAGACTTAGTATGAATTATAGGATACCCAGGGAGCACCCGTTGTGTATGGTACCACTCACCGCAAGCAGTTATTTGTGCTCTTGCTTGTGTCTCGGTGATCTTGGGTTCGACTCCCCCCCGGTGCATGAGTTGAGTATCGTGAATTTTTTGCTTGTTTACGCGCTGGACCTTGGCGTTACGGGTTTTGAGGTCGGGCTAGATCCAACAATTTGGCATAGGTATGTTCACAATAGTAACAATGGTAACAAGCATCGCTTGTGCATGGAGATCTATGATAAAACTAACAATTTTGACTGTCTTAATTTTTGTTTTATTTTGGTCTGACATTGGGAGACTAGCATGGAGTACACGTCGGCACCATGAGAAATCGCACGATTCTCGGCGATCTGGGGTTCGATTCCCCGCTGGTGCATGCCGTGCAGACTCCAGCCTCTTTTTTTTCCCCTCCGTTCTCATCCATTAGGTGCCTCAATATATATCACATCTAGCCCCTGATTTTGATGCTACAATTGAGTATAGATCCTCGTGAAGCGACTCTCCGGCCTACGCGTAACAGCGCAGCACCGCAGTGTTGATTTCTCGACAAGCAGGTGGTCGGACATTGCCAGCTCAAAAGCAATTTGCTGCTGTGCGGCGTGCGCTACCTGAAACGAGACAAAGTGGACCCAAAATGCGCCGGTTAGGTATGGCACATACGTCGGCACCATTCGTCCAGGGAAGAGAAGCCAGCGGTCAATAAAAGTGGCGTTGACGTCGCTCATTCACTGGAAGTGATCATGAACATTGAGTCGACTCCAGCGCATTATCAAGGCCTCGAATTCCTTGTGCAGCACCACCTGTGTATGGCTCCACGCGCCGTGCCCGTAGTTTTGGAGTCTGCTCTCTGACCGGCGATCTGGGGTTCGATTCCCCGTTGGTGCATGTACCGGTACTTAAAGACGCTTTTTTTTGTTCGGGCATGCATTATGGCCTGCAGCACCAAAAATCCGCGGTGAAAGTGGAAGCAGCATACAAAAGAATTGATACCTCTAGGCTGTAGTGCTACTGAACACTATTGAACACTCAGTGGATCGATCTAATTCACACGTCGGGTCGTCTGGCTGCCCGCCAGGGAATGCAGCACAACTGGAAGCACCGGTTGTGTATGGCGCACGCGCCGCCAAAATAAATTGATCTCAACGTATCTCGGCGAGCCGGAATTCGATTCCCCACCGGTGCGTGTCTTGGCTAACGCATATTTTTGCCTTCTTCCTGTAGCCCCACAGTTCCCAACGTAATTGAGGGAAGCTCGTCGCAACAAAGCCGGGGTTCATCCTGTACACACACAGCACCAGCTGTGCACGGTAACACGCGCCGCATCCGTACTGCGTTCCCGATGTACATCTCCGGCGATCTGGGGTTCGATTCCCCACTGGTGCATAGATGTTCGGGCGACGTGTTTTGTGTTGCACCGCTATCACCCCGTACTTCCCAGTCTCTCGAGCTTGTGTTGCATCCAAATCTCCACAGGGTTCAGTCGAACGCTAATGAACTGTCTGTGCCGAACCGTGTATGTCTCTTACCCCCAGCCACTGCGTTCCGGGTTCACCTACGCTCAGGTCTGGGTAGCTGATCGGGGGTCAGCGTAGGTAAGTGCAGGTAAGTGTAGCCAACTACAGAGCCCATGTGTGGTTGACTACACATAATTTATGTGTAGCTGATGGCGTGTCAGCGGAGCCGTAAGTCTAGTTGACTACGCTCATTCGCCGTAGGTGAGGGTAGCTGAGTGCAGGTAACTAGCCTCAGCTACACAGACTCCAGAGGACTGAAAATCACAGCTAAATTTTCGTCGCCAGTTAAGCTAGAGTGAGGCGGTCTAGCTCACTACACACACCTAAACTGAGCTATGCTCAGCTAGACTCGGATACACAGAGCTAGCCAGATCCGCACTTAGCTACACATAACAAGTCTAGCTCAGCTAGACTCAGATCTCTGTGTAGCTCTGCGTACATGCCCTACGCTCGGGCTGAGCGTAGGTGGAGTCGGAACGCAGTGAGCTGCCAATGGAATTGGAGGGGGTTCACTTACTCTTATACGCACCGGTTGTGTATGGACCACGCGTCGGAACGGTGAGCTTGTTGGTTATGAATCTTCCCGATGAGACGGGGTTCGATTCCCCGCTGGTGCATTCAGGGTTGCGGCGGCTTTTTGGCTAGTCTTTTTTTGGCCAACTGTCCAGGTAGACAGTTGAGGCGGAGCGTGCAAATCCGTTTTGAATTTTATTCTCAGTGAATTTGTCGCAGAATGACGCGTACCCCTGATCAGCTAACAGATAATCGCGTCAGAGGTGGTCCCAGGTCGCATGGGTTGCGCAAAATCCAAAACGCACCGGTTGTGAATGGAACAGGCATCTGCAGGATGAGCGCCAACGGTTGATTCATCCAGGATCTGGGGTTCTCAGATTCCCCGCTGGTGCATTAGGAATGATCGTAATGTCTTTTTGTTGCTGATATGATGCCCCCTGCATCTCTCGCCGGTAAATTCAATTCTGTGGGATGACATGAGGTTCAAACAACTGGGTCATGAATTTGAATCGGAGGTGGCGTTCGGATTGTCCTCAAAACGGCGACACAGCTGTGACTCCTCCAGGTGCCAGTCATCAGGAATTGTGCTACATCGTACAGGGCAAAATGCAATGTGGGAAGCACCGGTTGTGCATGGTGCACTCGCCGGCGAAATGCAATTTTGACACATCTGCTCCGCGATCTGGGGTTCGATTCCCCACCGGTGCATGTGTTGAGCGACGCTCTCTTCTTTTCGGCTTTCAAGCCCGAGCAAACCTTCCCAATTCCAACATCGTCACCAGCTGGTCTCCAACGAGCCAAAACACCACGGTAAGCACCGGTTGTGCATGGAGCACACGTCGGCACCATAAACATTTGCTTGATGTCTCTCGGCGATTTGGGGTTCGATTCCCCACCGGTGCATGTAACAGTCGGATGCTATTTCTTTTTTGTTCTGCTCATCGGATGCGTCGTCCGATTGCATCCGCCTCAAATACGATATTCACCTAGGCTCTTTACCGGCGTGCCTGCCTACGATACACAGTGGGGCGAACACGTTGCGGTCAGCTTAGAGGAGAGCCTGGGAAGCATCGGTTGTGCATGGCGTACGCGCCGGCGAAATACGAACTTGCCACCTCACGTTCTCGGCAGTGATCTGGGGTTCGATTCCCCACCGGTGTATTTGCATCGATATCCATACCTTTTTTGGTGGTCTGTTCTTCCCGTTATCGCCAGGCTGTGTTGGATTCCAAATCCTCGGGGGTTTTAGTCAAACGCTAATGAACTGTCTGTGCTGAGCCGTGTATGTCTCTTGCCCCCGCCTATGGACTAGTGCTTCACTTACTCTGAATTACACGCACCGGTTGTGTTTGGGATACGCGTCGGAACGATGTAATTTGTGTGGTTCAGTGCATCACGGCGAGAAGGGGTTCGACTCCCCATCGGTGCATACAAGTCCAACCCTTTTTTGACGATACCCGGGCGGGGTGAAATGCAGTTGGAGCAGACGTCTCCAAAATCAGCCTGAGTGTTGATTATAAAGGCTAGATTGGGCTCGATTCCCCTGTCATAGGTCTTTCTGCGCTTTTCCTGACACGGTTAGCTTATTCACGAGCAGGTCGGTCAGACATTGGGCTAAGGCACGGAGTGAAGCACCGGTTGTGTTTGGGACACGCGTCGGAACGATTATGTCGTCGATCAAGAATTCTCGACGAGAGGGGGTTCGATTCCCCGCTGGTGCATTCTCTGTCGTTTTTGTTAGTCCTACTTATTTCCCTTTACTGTCCGGTTCCGCGTCGAGATGATGGTCCACTCCGCACCGCGCGCGAGTTCAATCCTGATGGGCTATATGATTCAAAATGGTGAACCTCTTCATCATGCAAGGGTATGGCAGCGAAAAAAATGGCCCACTTACGTCGAGTTCAAGCTAGCTGCAACAAGCACTGGTTGTGCATGGCGCACGCGCCGGCGAAATATATTTAGCAGATTTCTGTCTCGGCGATCTGCGGTTCGATTCCCCACCGGTGCATTGCCCGTCTTAGATTGCCTTTTTTTCCCTTCCTTCTTGCAATATTAATGCTGACCAGGAATTCGGCCAGCCGAGTCCCAGAACTGATTGCTGCGGCAGCAGCACCACGAGTCTCGGGTTTTCCACGAGCAGAATCTCCGATACATAGGGCAAGACGAAGTGCAGGAAGAGAGCGCTGGTTGTGTATGGAGCTCGAGTTTGCTAAATCGAGCGTCCGAGTGATCATCCAGACGAGAAGGGGTTCGATTCCCCGCTGTTGCATTCGACACTTCCTTCCATGTTTTTGGAAAGAAAATCTTGTCTCCCATCTCTAGGCTCTGATTTGCCATTCCATTGACCAAAAATAATACCACATCAAGGAGCAGATGGTCACACACCCACCGCAAATGCATTGGTCCGCAGTGGGTCTCGGTGGTTTGGGGTTCATTTCCCCGCCAATATTAGCTCCTAACAGCCCCGTCCTTTTTTCGTGGGACCATTGTCTCTTCTTGTGTTTGTGTTACACTACGCATCAGGTGCCGAAAACTGTATGTCTCATACCCCGGGCTGCCAATGGATTCGCACGGGGTTCACTTGCTATATTGCACGCACCGGTTGTGTATGGACCACCCGTCGGAACGATGGTTATTGCCAAAGTATTTCGGGGTTCGATTCCCCGCCGGTGCATTCAAAAGTTCGACCGGCTTCTTGGGTGTTCTTTTATGTCCCTCTACTCTGCGGTCCTGCATCGCAGTAGCAATCCGCACCGCGCGCGCAGGCTCAATCCCGATGTGTCAAATGAGTCGACATTCCTTGAACACCCTCATCATTGAAAGGCATGGCAGCGAAAATGACCTACGCATGCCGAGTTCAAACTAGACGAAATAAGCACCGGTTGTGCATGGAGCACGCGCTGGCAGAATGCAATTTTGAGACATGTGCTTCTCGGCGATCTGGGGTTCGATTCCCCACCGGTGCATGACCAGTGTTAGATCGCCCCTTTTTTTCTTCTTTTTTTAACTTGAAGACTCGGCCTCAGATTTCCACCCGGCCGTGTGCACACGTGTCTGCAAAATTGGTCCGGGTATCGATTGACCAGGCGAGACGGGGTTCGACTTTCCGCTGGCGCATTTGAAGGTCTTCGTGGGCTTTCCCCCCCCTCTACTGCGTTGCTTCTCCCTTGTTGCACTCAGTATTTCATTTCTCATTGCGATCTGAGCAAGTTACAAGACATATGCCTGTGGGGTGGTGTCTAACGTGGTTGATATTGAAACTAATCAATGGACAGTTACGAATAAGTTGAGGCAGCACCGAATCGAATCGGATTGAGTTAGGGGAAGCCGCATGCATCCCGCTGTCTTCTATTCCCTCGTACAAAACACAGAGAGCACCAGTCGTGCATGAAAACAGGCGCCGGAAGGATGGGCAGTTGAGGGACAGAGCATCTTCGGCGAGACGGGGTTCGATTCCCCGCTGTTGCGCGCATGCCAGTGTCCGCTATTTTGCGATAACCGTCTGTAGATTCGATTGCCTAGCGCATCGGAAACGGTTCGCCTGCTGTGGATTATCCAGTACCGATTCGGAAGCACCGGTTATTCATGGAGCATCGGTAGACGTGCGAAATCCCATTTTGTCCACTCTTCGTTCCGTTCTCTCCACTCGGCTCATCGCACGTCTGCGGAGTTGAATTCTGACGCCGGACATATGTGTGATATTCTCCCCAGGTACGAATGTTTCATACCAGAAACGTTCCACTTACCTGGACAACGGCTTACACAGCATGTACCAGTGGTGTGGCAACGCGCCGGCGAAATGATGTTGTGGTACACAGACTGCACGGCGGATCGGGGTACAATTCCCCACTGCTGAATAAGTGGTAGAACACCTCCTTTTTGTTTCCAATACTCGACTCGGCGTAAGCTACATCCAATCTATATATATCGGACCCGAAGTCGGAGCGAGTTCAATATCGGGCAAATTGCTCTTGTCGCCAATGCTGGGCTGAAGCGCATGCTTCAGGAACTCCTCCGGCGACGTGAACGTCATATGATGGGCCATCAATCTCCCATGGGTCCACATGTAAAATTCGCCGCCCGAGGCGAACAGGAAGGCATCTCCACCAATATTGGGAATGAACGCCAGCGGTTCGATTTTCCCCGGGAGCTCGAAGACCTCGATAAGTTTTTCAAACTTGTCCCTTTCATCATCGTAAGTTGTGCGTAGGATGTAGCGCGCTAGTCCTTCCCAGTCGTCCCAGTCGGTTGACCAGGGCTTCGGGATGTTGGGATCATTGTACCAAGTCTCAAAGATTCCTGTGCGCGGGGGTGGGGAGGCGCAGGCTTGGATCCATTCCAAGGTTCCAGCGAAATCAGATTCCCCAAACGGCGCGAGTTCGCTGAACGACAGAGGAATGGATCAGTGGCTTGACCATCGACGATGAAAGCGGAGAGTTTACGGTGTGATCTTGTGGGGCATCGTTGTTGGCGCCCAATTTTCTGCGGGTCTTATAAGGCGCCAAGAGGCACTGCCACGGGGCAGTGTTCGATCGAGGGGCTCGCGATCCAACTTGGACCGCCAGGAATGAAATCATGAGGGTAAAGGTAGATTCGTCCCCGTCGGTTGCCTTAGGCTGACAATCCGAGTTGGCGGGGGATCAAATGCGGATGGAACCAAACACATATAAAATCAGAGCAAATAATTGATGGGGAGTCAAGGGGGAATCAACTTTCGAAATTCGGATATCCGGTCGAAAAGTTTTTTAAGCCTTGATTGACAGCTTGTGCGACAAGTGAGCTTGCGAGCTGAAGCACAAAGCCGGCTGACTAAGAGAGCGGCAAGGACAACAGTGATGTGATCGGTGATCGACGATCGCGTCTCTTGCCTTCCGCTCTCTCGACACCGCTCTCTCGACACTTGAAGCCCTCAAGCTTTCTCTGGTCTGAACTTCGTTGTTTTCCTTTACTGTGGTCCTCCTTGGGTCTGTCTTTGGGCTGCCTTGGATGTCCAGGTCCTCTGGCTTGTCTCTATGCATGGTCTTCCTCTGGTAACCTGGGCAGCCTTTATTCTTATCTTTCACGGCCGCCCAGCTGTCCTGTTCCATTGGGCGTCGCGCAAGCTCTTGTGATTCTTTCAACCTGTCTCCTACCCATCTCTGCGCTGTATGCAGTCCTCGCTTCGCTCTTGCTTCGGCCTCGCAGCAGGCAGTCTTGCTACATCATAGCAACGGCCTCGGGCGTAGCAACCGGTCAATATTTGACTTGATTCCGCAACGGGCCGGAATACTTCGGCTTCGTTAATCCTTTGCTACTACGAGAGGCACCCAGTCTGCTCGCCAGCTGTCAATATTTTGGAGTGCCCATCTTTCCGTGAGTGTATCGAGGATCCGAGGTGCACTTCACTGTTGCACGATGAAGGATTTGCATGGACGTAAATGTTACGGTGAGCATTCCTTCTACTTGAGTATGTACCCAGATTTATGCTGTTCCTTTTCCTCACGCGATCCTGCCTTCGTGGCCACATGCTGCGGCTTATGGCTATGTCGTGCCATTGCGGCCGTTATTCCGCCCGAGTGGCCATGTCGCGCCCGAGTGGCCGTTATTCCATGCCCGAGTGGCCATTATTCCGCCCGAGTGGCCATGTCGTGCCCGAGTGGCCGTTATTCCGCCCGAGTGGCCATGTCGTGCCCGAGTGGCCATGTCGTGCCCGAGTGGCCGTTATTCCGCCCGAGTGGCCATGTCGTGCCCGAGTGGCCGTTATTTCGTGCCCGAGTGGCCAATTCTCCGTGCCCGAGTGCCCGGCCATACATTGTGCCCGAGTGGCCATCGTACGAGGATGCTGTGCCCGAGTGGCCATTTCTGCCGTATGTTGTGCCCGAGTGGCCATCTTACGTGCCTTTGGATTGCGTACAAGGTATGGGCGCAGCTCTGCCTTGTGCGCACTATTGTCTGTGCGTATCCTGGATTATGTTCATTCATGCATCCGCTGATTATGATTACCGAATATACTGCACATGCATATGCCATTGTGGCCAAGGTCAAGGTACTAAGGAAGCAATGCATCCAACGTTCATTGTGTCCTCTATTGGTGTCTATTTTTCTTTGCCTTTTTGAATTCGGCGACTCGCTTTTGGTTGTGTTTTCCTTTTTGTGCCCGGGTGGCATTGCCGTGCCCGCGCGGCCAAATATGCTGTGCCCGAGTGGCCATGTATACAGCGCACTGAATAACCGTTCCATGTGCCCAAGTGGCCATCTCCGTGTCATACGACCAATGTTTGGTACTTTGTTCTGCGTGTGCATGCACCCCACGGTTTGGTTGAATGATGGTGCCAATTGGTGCCTCGCTTCGCATTCCATAAGTATGAATTTGGTTGCCCGGTCTACCAGCTTCAGAATCTCTTTTCAATCTTGGGTTTGATTACTCATCGCTCCGAAGGTGAGTTGAATTTTTGATGCTGGCGGCTTCACCTGCAGTGCGATGGCACGCTGGTCCGGTAAGTTTGATTTCCTTTGCCTGTGGCCATGCCGCCATTCTGTGGCATTATTGCCAGTATGGTTTGCGTTCTGTGCCTGTTTCTCCTCTGCCCATTATGGTCATTTGAGCACACCAATCTTCTGCCATGGAGTGGCTCTGAGTGGGCTGCTACAACATTCCGCTCATTCCTTTCGTTGGTCATCCGGATGTCCCGAGTTCTATGGTCATCCGAGTACCTCTGCGGTTGCTCAATTATTCAAGGTTGAACGAGCCACTTTCCATCGGCCGGATATGCTCGGGGACATCGATTTGAGGTCCCGCATACGTCGATTTGGGGACGCAAGTTCCCGCATCCGTTTATGCGAAGGCTGATGTATCCCTGTTCTTCGGACGCTGATCGAGCGATTCAAGCATGCATAAGGCCGCCCATGGAATCGGGCGGCGGTCGGCACAATCCATCAGTCTTGCAGTGGATTTTCACTTGAATCAATTCCGGATCATGCATAGGCATTTATCCTTGACTTCAATTTCCTTGCATTTGCTCGCCACGACTGGCTATACGACAATCTTTCAATTCTTGCATCGTGTTCAATGGTCTTTCTGGCTTTCCCTTTGTTGAATCTATGAATCAAATTGGTACGTGGCGTGATTGGACTCTTATCCTGGTGGTCCATATCTATTTTGCCTCGCATATCCGATGCGCTGGGCCATTTTCAATCGCAGGACTTTTCTGTGCTCCACCCGAATCTGCTAATTAGCCACACGATGACCCTCCATCACAGGTTCGCCACACCGTGGTCGAGTCAAACGGCCGTGATATGGAACGTGTGGTCCCGGATCCTTTGTTCATCGAGCATTGTTTGTTCAAACTCTGCGCGACATTTCTGCGGCGACTGATTTCTGGAGTGCTCTGCATAATCGCTCGGCTGAAAGATAAGGAAAGGCAAGCACAATCAATGACGAATAGAGGCTGGTCTATGTGACTGCGCACCATTGGACATTCACCGTTTTATTCTGCGCTCATTTGCTGAAGAGATCCGCACAGCTTCTGAAATGATACAGATGTGACTATTTTGGCCCATTATCGCGCCAGTTGACATTCATTGTTCTATCCCCCGCGCATTGCTACAGACATCATTGCCGGCCTTCACATTCCACGAACTGATCTCACGCGGCATGTCTCGTCTCGATTGCGTTGCATCAAAGTGGGGTATACTTGGTCCACGAACCTCCGATGCACGTCTCTGTAACTGATGAGAATAGCTTCAATCCGAAGGCAGTACTGCCTCAAATCCTTGGTTGATTACTCTTTCCGAGATGATTTCCTGTCACGCAGGATTGCCAGAAATGGATCTCGTTCAGGCATTACAAACAGCGGCCGCATATCTCGAATTTCTGCTTCTTGGACTCAGACTGTTCTATTCTTTATGTGGACGACACATGGGCATCACATGCGAAGAATGACGCTGGTGCAATGGCCATGATTATCTCACCGATCCCCTCTGACGG